AGGATGCGATCCTCGGCATGGACTTTATGGTCCCACTGGGAATTCGTCTGGGTTTGGCTGATGGGACGCTGTGTCTGCCGGACAAGATTCGCATCCAGCTGCCAGGACGACGACCGCTTTGCGGTGAACACGTCAGCGAAGTTCGCCGGCCTCTGTCGATACTTGCTCGATCCGAAGTGCGCGCGTCCCTGACGGTTCTTCGCACGTTGCCTCGCCCGCAGTACCTCTTCCAGCGCAACGGCATCTGAGATACACATCAACGCCAGCGGATCGGCTAGATCGAGATCATCCAGGGTCTCGATGAAATGTTCTACGTGTTCGCGGCGAACGTCGGATGGGCCACTCCTCACGCGCAGCTTCGCCCTCAGTCCTGCGACGTTCAGGCGGTGCAGGTATTACAGCGGCGTCTCGTCAGCGCGCTTCCTCGCATGGTAGTACTGTCTCGCGACCGAGCCGCGCGCGATACCAATTCATGGCTTGCAGGACATTTTTTTCGGGTGTATTAAGGATACGCTACCCAATTTGTAATGTCTAGGTGAGCGCGATAGCGCTCCAGACCAACTAAGCTGAGCGGGTGTGAGGCGGGCCCAGCTCCGAGCTCACCAGCGAGCCGCGCGCTAGAAACTCCAGTGCATCCTATCTTTATATGGTGAGCGAAGCGAACCGCGGGGGCGCCGAAGGGGCGCTCAGCCACGCGAAGCGCGGCTGGTCACTTTTTTGTTGTTGTATTGGTACTCTTCTATATAGTTAACTCACCTAAAAATGGTGAATGCACCTAAATTTAGGACATTGTGAAGGAGACTTTCAGTGTTTGCAGGACATTTTGTAGGACGTAGTTGTAGGACGTTTTTTCGGATGCAGGATCATTTTTCTGGTTGCATTAAATACATTCATTGCTGGCAGCCCAGTCGTTGCAACGGCGGTGGATACAGTCGCTTGCCGTGAGGCAGGGAGGTACAGATCGTCCGGGTCGTTCTCTCCGTGGTCAGATCCCATAGACTCCATGTCGACGTCCTGCGGCTCCGTTCTTCTCACCAGGGGCACTGTTGGCGTCCCCTGTGCGGCGCGTTGCTCCTTCAAGAAGCGTTCCATCGCCGAGATGAAGAACGTCTGCAGCCTGTCTGGATTTTTCGTTCGATCTTCTGGCTGTCACAGGAGCGTCTTCCTTGGACGTCACGTTCTATATAAGGGCGATCTGGTTTGCAACATCGCGGCTCCTGAAGGGCCAAGCTGCATTCGCTCGACTCCTTCAGAGGTGTCCGAGTCGGCCATCGAGGTCGCTGACGCGTAGTGCGAATGTTGGGACGATCCAGTCGGCGAAGCCGATCCGGGGAGCTGAGTCAGCGCTGCTTCCGGCTTGGCATCAACCTTTGTCTGGGTTTCCGCCTCTCTAACCAAAACCTTCAGCATTTTGAAGATCTCTGACTGCGTGATCTGGATCGCTTCGAGGTCCAGATGGAACAGATCCTTCACTGCAAAGGGGCCTGGCGTGATGCCTGCGTCCTTCAGCAGACGCAACACACCCTTCACAGCGTTAATCTTGTTCGTCTTCGCTGGTGGCGGCTTCACTGGTCCTTTCAGCGACCCCGGCGTCTGCAGCTGTAGGATCTTCATCACCGGGTTCTTGGCCAGAAATACTTGGAGCTCATTCCGGTTAAAGGCCTCCTCCAACTGATCGCCAGACCAAGTCGCTGGGATCTCGTCAAGGCTGTCGGAGTCTGAGGCTGCAGGAGCCTTGAGTTCTTCCGCGACGCTTTCGGCTTTTTCTTCCTCAAGGACTTCTGCGTTAGCGGAGCGGTGGTTGGTGGGGTTCCTTCGGTT